TTATCATCACCGTGTGATGAACTTTCTTCACCATGACGGTATCTAGAATGGGCTATTTGTCGATGATGGGAAGAATGACCACGGGGAGGACGGGGGGAATGAGCACGGGGAAGGCGAGCCTCTGCGATGACTCACGAGACCGGGGAATTGAAAAATTGCCAGAAGCTAGGAGAGTTTTGATCTGCTCTTGCATGCCCTTGCACTGAGCTTGCATGCCAGAGTACTGCATATCTCTAAGCCTTTCTCTCTCCTTGGCGGCTTCTAGCTCGGATGTGAGCTTTGCCACAGTCTCCCGCATAGAGGAGAGGCTCTCCCCATCAAGTTGCTCGGCTTGGGAGGAAGTCTCTATTCCTTGCATTCCACACTTATAGCGATGGAATTTCTTATTAGGAAGCCCGTATACCTTCCCCCCTTTTGGACCGCCAGCAGCCTGCGTCCACATTCTCTCAGCATCCTCGTCCGATAGTTGGATTGGCGCGCCGGACTCTGAATTGCTCCACTTCAGCTGTGAAGCGACCCTATAAGAAAAATAATATGTGAATTACTATTTCCAAATTTATATAAAGTAAATCAAAATTCTTAATGAAAAGTGAAAACTTACATGTACAGTCGAGGCTCGGCCCTCGACCCACCTTTCTTGGTCCGTCTCTTTCTTCTTCTTCACAATATGAGTCTCCTTGAAGAGCTCATCTTGGTTCATCGGACGCCCCAACTTTTTTTCCTGAAAACTCATAAATTTTAGTTAATAAACAGAATACATATACTAAGAAAATTAAAGTAAATTAAGCAATTACGTACCATTCTTCTTTTTATTGTCCCTAGGCTGATCGCACCTCCAGTGTGCAAGGATCCTCCCTTCTCAGATGCCCGGGCTTTCTTTCCTTTTTCGCTCTTCTCTAAGAACTCTGCTGTAAGCCATTGCCTTTGCAAATCATCCCATAAATCCTGAAACATCCAGCCAGGCTTCTGGTTCAACTTTCTAGCTTTGGAGAAACAATGCGGCAACTGCTTGCGAGCTTTGAGATGAAAATTTGCAGCCACTTCCGCGCTATAACGGTGTTCCCATACACACTTGATCTGTATTTCAAAAGTTAAGTATTATATGAAAATATCATAAATATAAATAATTATACTGCTTAAAAGAACATTTATACCTTAAATTGATTGAAAATTTGCTCCTTCAGCGAGAATGGAAATTCACTCCAAGTCGCATAAGGGCCATCATAAAGCTTTCTAGTGGCTTTGGTGATTATCCTCGTAGTAATATTACTAGGGATGAACCTGCAATTTAATAAAAAAAATACATTAATATCTTAGTAAAAACTGTACAAAACAATAAACGTAAAAATAACAAATAACTCTTACCCATCACCCTCAGGGACTATGATGATCCTGCCATATTGATCATAATGCACCTCCTCGTCATCATCAGCATCACCGTCCGAAACATGTATATCAGAGGCATGTGTAGAAGGTGTAGGGGGGTTAGAGCTAGTATCTTGCAGGCGAAGGCCTGAAATAGATGGAGTCCCAGATGAAGATGGCTGCGATCCCTGTGACTGCAACATAGCTGGATGGACCGCAAGTGGCTGTGGCACTGATAGCTGTGACCCGAGTGGCTGTGACCCGAGTGGCCGTGACACTGATGGCTGTGATCCATGCGGATGTGACATGGATCGATGCGATCCATGCGATGCAGATAGTTGCGATCCACGTGGTCGTGAGACAGGTGGACTGTATATCGGACGTATAGTCCTATGGCCTTGTGACGAAAGACCTGGTGTCTGCACGAAGGTGTAGGGCTCGTAATGCTGTGGCAGCTCAGAATAGCCCTGGGGTGGAGGCAAAGACATAGGCATAGGCATAGGCATCTCTGAAGAGGGTGGAAAAGATTGAGTATTATCTTCTACCCTCCTCTTTGGTTTCCTAGCCTTTTCTCGACCCCGAGAACCAGTAGGATCACTGTTACCTCGACCCTTGCCTGACATCTGCATGACATAATACAAAGTTAGATTGAAACATATAAAGAAACTAGCTATAAACAAGAGTTATTAAAGAAACCAACTTTTTAAAGCTCATCGACGTATAGTTCCTCGTCCGAGAATTCTTCTTCCTCACTAGTTTGAGCTTCATCAGTTGATTCTTCTTCCTCGTTTTCTATAATTCTTACTTCATTTATATCAACTTCTTCCAATATGTGTTCAGGATGTTCCAAATCATTTTCTAAAACTTCGTCCACTATTTGGTGAACACTGGAGATATCATTTTGATATGCAACATCTAACACATTCTCGACTTCTACCCTACCCACAGGCTTAGTTTTTATTACAACCCACCAATCAGCCTTATTCCCCGCAATGGATAAGGAGCATAATACACTTGCCTAACATTATGTGCAATTATGAAAGGATCATAGCGATCATACTCCCTCGTATGATTAACCTC